TTCACTCTCTCTCTCCTCTTTCTTTCTTTCTTTCTTTCTCACTCTCTCCTTCTTTTTTCTCCCTCTTTCTTTCCCTTTCATTGTCCCACACCCTCTCTCTCTCTCTCTTAGTTTTTTCTTTCTATCTCCCTTCCCCCGAATTTCCCTCCGTCCACGCAGTCGCAGGCACACATTCACACACAAACTCTTACAATATCTGACGCCTCCCTACACTCCTCGAGAGCTCACTTCTAAGGAAGGATTAGTCAGGAAAGGATAACGAATGGCAGAAATAATCAGCAAACAAAAGAAATTATTCCTCACATCTGGCAAAAACCAAGTCAGAACCAGTTACTGAGACTATAGAAAGTGAAGTCAGCCCACAACACGCACAGATTGACGCGTAACAAAGGGCACTAAGGAATGAAAAGCAAAGTGCAAGAAAAGTCACGTGGGTCTTTGAACAATCAAACTCACAATCGCCACATGCTTTAACACTCGCAAATACTGAGTAAGATCGGTCATTCATTTTGATAATCGTCTGCCATTGCTTGCAAGTTTTAATCTCCGGATAAATCAACATAACATCGATTGTCCCTTGAACATCAAAGCGAAAGCGAGCTAAAATTATTCTTTGGTCTTCACTACCGGGAAACGAGTTCACCCTCCTGCTTCACGGCTCCTCAACAGCCACTGGTCTCGGCTTTTAATTTTTCTCCCTTCTTTTATCAGGCGAGGAAGCTATTGGTGCTAGTTCCGCGTAAAGAGGAGTGGAGGGGGCGAGGTTGTCTACGGCAAATACTGACAGATGTGAGGGGGAGGTGCCGCTCTGCGCAGGCGGGGCTTACTGGGCCACTGCTGAGACAAATTTGCATAATAAACCGCCCCAGTGCGCAAGCTCGTACTAACGGAAGTGGACAAGTTCAAGACAATATCTGAAATGCCATGTGATCTTATAAAAATTATGCGTTGGGGTTTGTACTCTCATACTGGCGCCAGACTCGGAGATCTGGACATTGTTTTTCTGTGCAAAGTATTATATTTAACGCAAAGAGTTAAAAACACTAAACCTGAATCGTCTAGTTTATAGGACAACAAGATGAGATAGTTTTCTCTATATTAAAACATCAAAACAGGTTACAAATGGATGTACTATTACATTCGCCAGGAGGAGGCAGATTAATAAACCTTTTATGTGGGCATGAATCGGTTTGTCTTTTCTGAGAATTCTTGGAGACAGATTTTCGCAAGCAAACACTGATCTGCAATCTGCGCTGGGAACCAGAGTGGCATGGGACAACAGCAGTCTTCCAGAAGTAGTAAATAGAAAGTAAGTACATTTAGTTGGCTTTCTGTTGGAAAGAAGAACCATGTGGACTTCATGTCAGAGATGCGATAATCATGTATCTGTATAAAAAGACAAACAAAAAAAACCTTTGAATGTCATCACAACTATTTCCAGAATTTGCTTTGAAGCTCAAGAACAGTATTGTGTTTTTAAATAAGGAATCGTTAAATTTAACCTCAATTTTGAATGTTATTAATTCATTCTTTTATTAATGCATAATTACGCTGTGTACTCTGACAAAACAGTATTTCTCTTGATAAATTGATATACAGATAACTCGCTTTTACTATTTTGCAATGTTACGTTTATTTGTTCATTTGAAAAGAATGAAAAAAAAAACTTTTCGAAAATACGAAATAACACATTTTGTTCATACTGACATGGTAAGCATATTGTATAACTTTTAATGTGTTATAACTTACAAATCCTAAATTTAGTTTCATTCCGTCATTGTTTTGTCAGTTGTATTGTTTTCTGAAACACACAAACAACCTGAAAATGTAGTGCACATTGTCTGTCTGTCTGTCTGTCTGTCTGTCTGTCTGTCTGTCTGTCTGTCTGTCTGT